ATATATATATATATATACTACACGACACACACACTACACTATATATATATATATATATATATATATATATATATATATATATATATATATATACTTATATATCACTAAAATGGTCGAACAAATCTCAAAAAATCATCACAAAGGTCTCCAAAACCTTATTTCACTCGAGTATCTACTCAGCCATTTTGCTAAAAATTATGCAGAATGCCCACATTTTGGATTTGAAATTCTAAACAAGCAAGGATCGTTTCTGCAATTTGGCATCACTTAAGTGGCCAAAGCTTAATGATGGTAAATACCCCTGCATGTTCCTGGTTCTGAACCAGGAACATGTTTCTCCGTTGAAAAGTTTTATTCTGGGTTGAGAACCTGCAACTTGTAGGGTTATTTGTCATTTTCCTCAAATAGTCTAAGCCAAATGACAAAACTGCTTGTTGCAAGTTCGAAACCAGGAACATGTGGAATTTTTCAGTAGAACTGCCTTGCATGGTTTGGAATCCCAAACAAAGGGCGGTATTCTGATAATTTGGCCCTTTATTATGATATGTCCAAATCACCAATATACCCCCACTTGTTCAGGATTATAAACACTGAACAAGGGCATTTTGGGCATATTTAAACAAAATACTCGAGTTACATGAATGAAATGATCATATTTGAGTAATAACTCTGATGCTAAAATTGATTGTTTGCCAATCTCAATGAATTTTTTTGTGTGGTTTGACCATTTTAATGATTTCTTCCTAAAAAGAATATCAGTCTCCAGTTCAAGTAGATTCTCATTGAAATTATTTCTTGTGAACAAATATGTACGAAATTTCCACTCCATTATACTCGTGAATATAGATACTAATGAAGGCAATTGGAGACATTTTCACCAAAATAAGTGAACGGCTAGCATCACTGTAGAAGAAAATCTAACCTGGAACACAACTTGTTGTGAATAATAGGGTAGGGCTTGTGCTGATGAAGGTAATTCATGCCCCTGCATATAAAACATACAATGGCACTTGTCATTTGAGGTTAAAAGAAAATAAGGGAAACTCATAAAATCAATTATAAAATTCAGAATAGATGCTCCCAGTCAACAGTAGTCCATTAGATTCAATTATCGTGCATTTGAATAATTATCATCAACTAGCCATCGAATGACAAAACCGGATCACTAAACCTTTTACCTTTTAGTATGAAAGAAAGCATATTGGGGCATCAACTTCAACAAAGGAAGAGCCAATGATGTTTCCTCATGCATGTTATGCACAAACAAATTATCGTGAACTCTTTTAAGGTCTCGACTTGTCCTATTATAGAAGTTTCAAATGCCAAACAAAGAAAAATAAATAAGCGAAAGTAAACCCGAGGGTCAATAGAAATCCCATACACCCCGTCCAGTTTTGAAAATATGGACGCTCATCCCCCTCCTATGTCTTTCCTCCAACTATTTACATTACTATCCTCTACTACTCCAACACAGGCCCAATAGCTAAAATAATCCACCTCCTGTCCCACCAAAGCCCCTGCCTCTCTCTCTCCCCCACCAACGCCCCACTCTCTCTCTCCACCTAAAAGGCACTCTCTCTACCCCACCTGCACTTCTTCCCCCACCAACAGGCCACTCTCTCTCTTCACCTAAAAGGCACTCCCCCCCCCCTCTCTCTCCCTCCCAAAAGGTTCATTTCTCCTTGTCCACTTCCGCATGTGCATTGAAGAGAGGTTTTTTCTTGAAGAGAATTTCAAAATTTTTTCTCTTTTCAAACTGCAGATCCCATTGTGTTAATCAAATAGGCTGCAGTCATTATTGCTTCTGAAAATAAGTTTTTGGAACATTCATATCCTGAGTGCATGAGCAACCTCTAACAGATGCCTATTTTTCCTTTCTAACAGGGTTTGTAAGGACATGTGTATTGATGAATAATGCCATTTTCCCTAAGAAGGAATGAAGATCTTTAGAGCCCACCATTGTCAGATCTAAGAATTGGAATGGACTTCTCCAATTGGGTCTTTCTTTTTGCATAGAAGGATTGAAAGATATCACTAACTTTAGTGAGGGTCTAAGCATATAAATCCATACTGTGTTCTCTCTCGTATCAACCATTCTCAAAGCTGGGAAACATTTTCTTTTCTGCAGTGGAGAGATTAAAATGAGCACTTTATTTGGCTATTGCACCTGCTCCAATCAAGCAGAGAGAAAGAGAGAGAGAGAGAGAGAGAGAGAGAGAGA